GGGTGGTTTTATATGAATGGGATTGGAAAAAGACCGTGCAGTGCATTTATGGAGGGATGCATTTATCTCTTAAGTCCTGATGTTGGGAATGAGACATAGGGTGCACTTATGGAGGGTTGACTGTATTTGCTGAAAACCTGAATCGTCATTCATATTGAAAAATTCTAAATGAACATTTATATGATAATGTGTATACGTTGTATGATCATAACTGGGTCTTCCAACAAGATAATGACATGAAACACACTTTGTGTGATGTTCAAAGTGACTTGGAAGACCATCTTCCAAAACAAGTTCTACCTTGGCCCAGACACAAATCCTATAGAAAATGTATGAGCTGTTTTGAAGTAAAGGGTAGAGAGATAGGTTAAGGATATGGTGGCAAAAAAGAAAAAAATCTCGCAAGAGAATTTTCTTGGTATAATTAGGCAGGAATGGGATGATCTTGATAATGATGTGTTACTTTGATACATCAATAGCATGCAAGGCTGGATTAAAGCATGTATTGATGCAGAAGGAGGCCACACAGAATATTAATTTAATAAGAAAAAATGTAACATTGGTCTTTGTATATACAAAAAAAATTTTTGGCTAATAATAAATTATATGTGTAATCTCAAAAATCTGTCCGCCATTCTTTTCACTGGGGACTGTACAAAACAAAAGTATAGTAAATTTTTTTATAAAAGGTTATTGATTAGTGAATGTTTCATATCTTTGAAAACAGAGGAGGAGTGGTGGTTTGAAAACAGCATGTTTTATTAGCATTTTATTAGTATTACGAACTTTCAATCACTAAGGCTTCTGGAAATTGTTACATTTATAAAATTATTAGAGGTTTTTAATCAGGAAACATTTCTAGAACAGTGCCATGGAGAGAAAATCTTTATCCATACAATTTTTTCAGAAGTTGCAATGGATAGAAGTATTACAACAAAGAAAGAAATTCTCTGTATTTCAAATGAGTTTTTTTACACTGCTGGTATTTTTACATCCATTAAATCTTTCCATGGCTCTAAAATATAATGTATATACTACCTTTCATGGAAATTGGTATCCATATCTTTGAAAACGGAGGAGGAGTAATGGTTTGAAAACAATGTTTATTATGTTCTTTACATAAATTTCAGAAATTCTGTATATGCAGATTACAAAAAATCACATATAACCAATCAATATATTAGTTTTGATTTTCATAGAATGTCAAAAAAACATTGTCCATAATAACTTTCCATGATTTATAAATTGTAATAAAATGTATATGATTTAAAAATTGTAATAAAAATATATGATTATTTTCCATGATTTAGAAATTATAATAAAACATAATTATTTCTGCAGTTTAAAATTGTAACAAAATGTATGATTGTTTTGTGATTTAAATATTTTTATGAAATTCTAAAGGTGTAAATACAAGTCTTGTTATTTGGATGGTTATGTACAGGGTTGGCTGCGTAACTCAAATGGGCATTTGGCTAAACTGACTAAACTATTTAGTCATATGTTAAGTCAAGTTTAGTCAAGATGATTATTACTAAATCAGGTTTTTAACCCTTTATGCTGCCAGTATTTAAAAAAGTGTCATAAAAAAGAGAAATTTGCTTATTAAAAAGAAATAAAACCTCAACCAAAGAATGTTGAATTAGCAGCACAATATGGGTTAGCCCAGGCCATACATTTGTTATCATCATTATCATTTTTTATTTTGTCATACTAATATGTAAAATTTTTGTCAATCCTGACCGTCTCAGGTGATCAGTCCCATACATTCGTTATGACAAGGTTAGACTTGTATTGTTTTCTTTATATTTATAAAGATCGGTATAAAAATTTTCGGCGAATGGCGCAGCACCATATATAAATTTTTTTAAGGATCGTTAATTAAAAAAAAAATTTCTTGGCATTAATTTATTTATTATTTTAAAAAAAAAATTAAATTAAACTAAATTTATCATCAAAAAAAGAAGAAATTAAAATTTACATAATAAAAATAAATAAAAATAATATAGTGTTTTTATTCTTCCAAAAATGGGGAATGTTTCTATTTTCTCTATTTACAGTTTTAAATTTTCTGAATGTTCTCAAAGTAAACATTATTGATTATATTTTTAATTTTAATTTTTTAATTTGTAGTTCGGTGTGGTTATACAATCTGCTGGCATAATCATGTTTAGCTTCTTGAATCATTAGTTCAGTTGGCGGTCGCCGTTCTTGCTCAGCATAACGATTATTTATGTGGGAAGAATTATTATAGTGTTGACGAGATAATTGCTTATTATTTTTGTTATTATTATCTTTGTTATTTTTGTTGTTATTGAAATTGGCTAAAGGTCTTCGTTGTGATTCCATTTTCTATTAATTAATTAATTTTTTTTTTTTTTTAATTTTTTAAAAAATTTTTTTTGAGGAGTAATCAGAGTATTTATAAATTTATAATTTTATTAAAAATCTCATTCAATATATAAATTTTCCAAAAAATAATAACAATAAAGCAAAATGACGATTTTTCAAATTATGTCATAATCTAAATAACCAATTGTTTTTGTTTGCTTACCAAATTAATTCCTAAACAAGGCGTGATTTTATTATGCAACTATATTTGATTATATAACAAACAATGAGTAAATATTTCTAAAGTTCATTTATAATTCTTTTTATGTCGATATTTTTAGAAATCATTAAATATATTTATAGGCATTTGGTAACGGGATTTTTTCATCATCTTTTCGAATATATTAATAATTAATCATAATCACGATTATCAATTATAGAAATTCCCACTTTTCTTAAACGTTTACCCGATTTAACAATGGAAAGATGTTTCTTTGTGCATTAATATCTTTGGGATATCAGTCTATCAATAGATCGATTAAAAGTAAAATCAACATCATTAAAACTTTTTTGCTCGAGCGTGTTACATATAAAAATTTCATCTAAACTACACAAATTTGGTGAAAATAGAAACATGCTTATCTCGGAAATTCTGTTTGTACAATTCATAAAAAAAACATTACATCATTTATATTAGTTATAACCCCAATAATCCCAGAGCCCTCTTTCAAAAAACAAAAGGAATAAAATATGTAATTATCATTGATAATAATAATTGATATTACCACAAATACTTCTATATAGTATAGTTAGTTAATGTTATTAATGGTTGATTGTGTTTAAGTTTTTTTTAGAGAGTTTATGAAAAAAAAAATCCCAAAATCGCAATTTTATATTTTATTTGTATAATATAGAGTACTTTATTCTGTAATATCAATCTAATAAACAGATATAGAATATACACATAAATATATTTCTTACTCGTCAACTACTTGGGTTTGAAGACCTGATTATTTTAAAATAGAGAAAGAATGAATAATGATAAACAACAATCAATAATAAATGTATTAATTAAAATCAAATATTTTAATCCATTCTTTAATTAATATCTATCATCATCATTATATTTTATTTATTTACCTTTAAATGTTGAAACAGGAACATATGTAACATAAGTATACAATTTTTCCTTGGCATCCTCTTCATCATTACGACGTCGTGAAAGACGAAGGCGCATACGACGAGGAACATTTCTAACACCTTGTTTCCAAATTTCTTTATTTAATAAAGGATCGAGTCGAACATCTTTAGTTCCCATATGAGAATTTACAAATTTTTTTATTGATTTTACTGCATGTGGTGCACGTTTCTTGAAAGTTCTATCAAATAAATATTTTTTATTTTTTTAATTACTAATGATTTTATTTATTTTATTTATTGAATGATAATTTTTGCTACTTGTAATTTAAATATATATTTTTATAATACCTGCCATGAACAGCTTTATGTAAATGGATTGTATAGTCTCTAGTTACAACATCAGCAATTGCACTGCGAGTTGTTGTTTTTTTTTCTTTAGTAGTTTTTGGAAGTGATGACATGTTTGTGAAGATGGTAGAAAGAAATAAATTATAAAAAAAATCTTTTTTTTACGATCTGCAAGAAAACGTTCAAATTAGCCATTTTACACAAAAAAAAATTTTTTTATTTTTTATTTGATTTTTTTTTAAGAAAAAAAATTATAAAAAACTATACTATTTATATATTTATAATATTTATATCATAAATGAGGAAAAAATTACAAGGAAGGAAAGATATATATAAATGCGTAGGAGGGGGATAAATATTACATATAAAATTGACATATATATGGGTAATGAACGAATTATTAAAGGGAATGTTAATAAAAAAAAACTACTCTAAATAAATGATTATTGTGTGTGTATATATATATATATATATTATATTTATAGAGGGATTACTTTTATAAAAGTTGATATATTATATTAATTAATAATTAGATAAGATTTAAAAAATCCGGCCTTAAAAATATAATGATCATAAGTATTGTTCTCCTTTTTCTAGGACATTGACTAAACCAGAAATTACTTTAGCCAAACCGTCTCCTAGAAGTCCTTTATTGATACCTTTGCTACCCAATTGCTTAAATTCGGATTTCATCGCCGAATCAATCAGCATTGGTATGGAAAGTGTTATACGAGCCAATTGCATCGTTAATCTTATACGACCAAAAATATCAAAATATGATAATGATCGAAGTTGTTGCTGGAGTTCATATAATCTGATCAACTCAAATTGTACAATTTTAACATATTTTTTACCGGCTAAGTTGAGAATGAGTGAAGGAAAAAAATATTAATAATATATATGATATGAGGAATTACTTTTCCTTATAAAAAAAAAATTTTTACCTAAAAGTATTTCTCTCATTCTTCCGAATGCTGTTTCTAGTGTTTCAATTGCATCTTCACCCAGATTTAATCCAGGATTACCTTCATTTAATGCATCTATATCACGTAATAAATATGATAAGTCGATTTGCTATATTTTCAACAAATCAACCAAATATTCAACTACTGGAAATACTTACTAACTAAAGAACGAATCATTTCAAAATCGCCGTCCATGAATTCTAAGAATAACTATAAAAAAGATAAAATATTAATATTTTATACACTTTTATTAATTCACAAAATAAAATAGCGTTATATATTACTTACTTGATATAATACTCCATGTAATGTATCATCACCCGTCCCGCTTACACTACCTAAATCACTTGTGCCTGATATATCATAAGCACGTCTTGAGGATGATTTATTCAATGTTTCATAGGCATACGAAAGTTCTAAAATATATAACGTAAAAATTTATAAATATTTCTTTCATTCATTTTAATATTTATTAATTAAATTTATAAAAAACTTACTTTGAAATGCTTCTGTTGCTTTTGGATATTCTGGAAATTTATCAGGATGACAAATTCTTGATCTCTGCATGCGAGTAAAAAAAAAGAAACCAACATTAGTTAATTATACAGATCAATAATTAATTGATTATAACAACAATATAATTACATTAATGTAAGCTCTTCTTAATTCTTCTGATGAACATGATCTTTCAACACCAAGAATTAGATATAAATTTGTTTCTGAACAAATTTCATCAACAGTTTTATATTTATGCTCAGCAGCAACTTTTTTATTAGTAATGTTATTGTTATTGCGCATCGTTGGATGTAAGCAATTATTGCTGTTATTATTATTAGAAAATGTTGTTGATGGCATTTTGTTATTGTTGTTATTTAATCTTTGATTATTATTGCGATGATTGTTGTAACGTGATTTGTTATTAATATTATTATTTTTTTTATTCTGATTTTCTGAATTTAATAAATTTGCCGATGATTTTTGTCTGAAATGATATTCTTTATAATTTTTATTATCAAAATTTCTATTGTTTGATGAAGTTGACGTTGTTGATTTATGATTATATTTATGATTATATTGTTGATTATGATGATGATTATAATGATAATGATAATGATGAATATTACCGTTTGTATAATTGTTGTTTGGGAGGTTTCCAATGACTGTATTTGAAAAAAAATTGAATAGATGCATTTAAAATAAAATAAAATAAAACGTAAAGATTAAAAATAAAATTTCAAGATTTGATTTCTAAAGAAATAGTTCCACCCATATTTTTATCCCCCCCAAATATTATTATTATTATTATTATTATTATTATTATTATTATTATTATTATTATTATTATTATTATTATTATTATTAT